ATATTGCGTGGTTGTGATCGCTTATTTCTACGCATGTTTGCACGCTGTGCGGACGACGTAATATTACGTGCTTCGCATGTTTCCACTGTGTGCGGACGTGACCAGGTAATATTGCGTGGTTGTGATCGCTTATTTCTACGCATGTTTGCACTCTGTGCGGACGACGTAATATTACGTGCTTGTGATCGGACCGCTTGCACAGATCGGTGTTTACGACACCCGTACAGCATTGCAGACTTCCAAAAAAAAAATCTGGTCTGATGAAATTCAACTTGTACATCTCATATGGGAAACTATGGCCAAATAGCTACTGATATTTTAACTTCATTATTACATAGTTATTTCTACTTACATTATGGGGCTTACACAAATCTCAGACACACGGACACAGAACAGAGATACACAGAACAACAAGAAATTGAAACCTGCTGAAACTAAAGGAAATACAAACAGAATGAAAACAAAACAGCGCCCCCTATTTTCAGGCAAATCTCTACCTTTTTTTCTTTTTTAATACCGAACAAACGGTTTTCAACCGAGTATAGTTTAGAACCCGTCCCGTGTACTCATCAATTTCTTCTGTAAATTGGGCGCTATTTGGATCCAAACTGACGGAGCCTTTCATTAACATACATACATACAACATTCGCCAAATTATAGTAAGATATATAAGTGGTCACCGTAGGTCACCTAATGTGACATTATTATGTGTCATATTTTTCCCCCATATCTAATCTCACCTGCATATGACCTTCGTTGCCCTCCTCCTCCTCTTCCTCCTCCTCCTCCTCCTCCTCGTCATCAGAGTCTTCCCCGCCCGCCGTCATCATATGTTTGACGCGTGAGTTGTTGAGAGAGTGGTAGAGTTGAACAAAGTACTCGTCCTGCTTTATCTTCGCTGGAAATGCGATCGCAAATGTTTTCTCATTAGGTGACGATGAGTGCAAGTCGTGCGTGGAAATCCCTTTGGCACATGTTAGAAATCTCAAAGGGACACATGACCCTAGCAGCTACCTTGCATATTTGAAAGTTAAAATAGGTTTATATTATGCTACATAAAAAATTGCATTCTTCAATAATCTTCTTTTTTTTTAATGTCAAAAGGCAAACGTCTTTTCATTATAGTTTGTGCAAAGAAACCAATGATGGTGAAAACAATTATGAGTTGAGGGTGAAAATCTCTTTAGCACACGTTAGAAATCATTAACGGAGAAGAAGAGAAGATCTAGAAATCATCGCATCATTACCATCATAATCATCATCAACATCATCATTATCATCATCACCATCCTCATCGTTGTCATTGTCATCGTCATCGTCATCATCATCATTAATAGCATTTTCATCTTTATCCTCATCTTCATAGTCATCATCAATCTCGCTAAAAATCGACAAATTATTACTCGCCTCCCTTTGCACGATTACTCTCTCCATCCTTCTTCCCTTCCCGGTTTTTCTCCTCCTCCTCCTCCTCCTCCTCATCCTCATCCTCCTCCTCATCCTCATCATCCGCTCGCTGCCTCCTAATCACCGTCATGTGATCGGGGAAGCGGAACCTGATTGATGCTTTAGCTAGACCGTCCGCAGTCAGCAGAAATGATGGAATCTCCTCTGAAAAGTAAAATCTAGATGCCAACGACGTCACGTGACGCCTAAGTAACGTAGCACCTTATCAGGAGTCTATCAATATATATCAGGTCTATTATTATTATTATTAAATCTTTATTTCATGTAATTCAGATGCAAATACATGTACTGACAACAGTTTTTTTCATGGAGAAAAAATCGGATAAATGCAATAGTGTTGAGTAGTTAAAATGATAAAATTTCTGAGTGATACAGTACAAAACAGCTCTGTTCGATGTTTAGTTTCTTCGGCCAAAGTGAGAGTAAAAGTAACGGAATGACCATCCGATGTTTAGTTTCTTCGACCAAAATCGGTGCGTGATCAAAACTGACGGAATGAAAAAAAGCCTCACCAAAACAGCAAGCGCAATTTATAAATATTATTAATTAATTAATTAATAAGGGGATGTTACCAGCAGCAGCGCAATGCTGGAGAAAACAACACGCGCAACCTCCCAACTTCATGCTTCGTCATCGTCTTCCTACGACAGTGATCTAGGCGATGCTGAACATGATATATAGAGGAATGTACAGGGAGGGAGGTGGCACGCATAGGGGAGACAATAGAACGTGCACGCTCACCCGTCTCCGTCTGCGGCTCGCGTTGGTACGGAGGCAGACGATTCTCCGCAAACTCCTCCATCAGTTCTATTGGCTGCAGCGTCGCCGTTGCCGTGGCGACCTCGTCCAGAATGCGACGAGTCATCTCCTTGAATCTCTGTAAGAAGGCGAGGTTTATTTATTTACCAGGGAGGAGGGAGGTAGATCCAGGGACAGGGAGGGGCGCAATGGAGGTGGGACAAGGAGGGGTGCAATGGAGGTGGGACAGGGATGCCAATATATTAAATAAATAAATAATTAATTTTAATATATATTATTATTTTTTAATATTTTTTGTTTTTGTTTTTTCGTATTTTTGACGTATGATCTTGTTTTAAAGAACAAGATCATACGTCAAGATGTAACGAATATCATTATATTATTACCGCGAGGTACACCGCATCCGGCACGCGATCCAGTTGCCGTGGCAACCCGCGCCTCAGCGCCACGTCGCGCCCCGTCGCCCGCCGCAGCGCGCGCGGGAACGCGTCCGAGAGGTACCTCCCCCACGTGTGCTGCTGATAGGTGCTCAGCGTCACATGGGTGGCGCCGCCGGCGTCGCCCGCTGCTACCGCCTGGTGGATCGTCCCGCGCGGCATGTAGAGAAGGTCGCCGGGGGTCAGCGTGAATTCGGCGATCGGGCTTCCGATCGCTTCCTGGCAGAGGTCGCCACTGTAGTAGAGCGGAAGTTCTAGCGGCGTCGGAGCGTAGAGCCGCCAGCGCTTCTCACCCTCGCAGTGAACGACGAAGACCTGTGGATGGATAGAGGGCGCCATGGGTCGTCAGCATGCGTGTGATTCGGTGAGGTGGCGCCACCGTCGGGAGCGAGGATGGCAAAGGAAAACAGAGATTAAGAGACCCCTGCACACTTCCTATCTTCACGTCACCGTGGTGCAGTGCCAGGCCCTTCCCCCCCCCCCGACCCACACACACACACAAACCCACGCACGCACGCATGCACGCACGCACACGCACACGCACGCACGCGCACACACACACACCCATGCACGCACGCACGCACGCACGCACGCACGCACACGCACACGCACACACACACACACACACACACACACACACACACACACACGCACACACCTCTCTCTGCGATCGTGCGGAGGAGCGCCACACTGCGCTCTCGC